ATAATTTTTGAAATAATGAGTGTTCAATGATAAAAGAATCACCCAGTATATAAATACAATCAGTATCATACTGCTATTGAACATGCTGATGAAAAAAATATATTCAACTAGCAGAATTAAACCCCATTGAAAAATATATCACATTGACACAAATTTAAGTATGAATTAATCAAATGACAAAAATAAGCAGTGTTAACTGAAATGTACATACTTTACTATGAGAATGGCTTCCACCAAGTTCAACATATACGGCATCTTTGTCATATACAATTCCACCAACTCCAGAAAATGGTGCATAAACAAGACGCTCTTTATCAACTAAACTCCTCTTCTTTAATTTTTCAGGCAGAGGGCAAGGATCAGGAAGATAACACATGTCATATATAGGAGAATCTCCACAACCTAAAACATACCATGACATAAATAATATATATACATAAACATTTAAGTACATAAAATTAATATAAAATATAAAGTTTGGCTACTTAAAAACAGATTTGTGATAAAAAATAAATTATTTAAAAAAATTAACGATAATCCTTTTCTCCTCTATCTACACATTGCTGCATGTTTGTCTTCCATAGTTCAGAGCAATGCAACAAGTTATTAGATGTTGAGCCTTTGAGTTTGTCCGTTTTTTTCTGCTTCACCTTTTCTAAGGTTTGAAATTGAGTTCCTTTCAAAGCAATTTTCAATTTTGGGAGTAGGTAAAACACACATGGGACTAGATTTAATGAATTATGTTCAAATATTGGGATGCGTTCATCAACCTACATCCTAATCTAACCTAACAGCAAAAATGTTAAGCGTTGCAATATAGTTTTGATGCAGAATCCACGCATTGTTGTTCCACAAGTCTGGTCTTTTCTTTCTCACTTTTTCTCTGAGATTAATCAAGATTGCAATTTAGTGTTTTTTATTTATTGTTTGACCTGGAGGCACCCACTCATTCATTATTATTCCTTTAATATTGAAGAAAACAATTAGTATTGTCTTTAATTTGGATTTGCTAATTTGAGATGTTTTTGATCATTGTTGAAGTTGGAGTATACCAGTGCATTGATTGTCGTTTTGTTTGGTGGTTATATTGAAATATTCATGTTTCATAACATGTAATGACATTTTCAAATAAATTTGGTTGCTTATTTAACTGTTGTAAGATGCCAAAACAAATGACTCTTCTGATGTCTTTTTATTCTTGAGTGGGATTTTTCAGTACCATTTTTGGACAAACTTTTTTCATATTTAAGTATCATGTAAAACTTTTTGATCTGCTTCTTACTTGATAGATCATACTTGCAATCATTCGTTGGTCATTTCGAAAGAATTTTTATGTTTTCATAGGTTCTTGATATGCAAGGGCAATTCCAGATGTTCATCAACATCTACTGCTTCTTATTACTCACTAAACTTGGGTTGCCATGGTTATCTCGCCATATAACTTAGTAAACAGTTTAAAACATTCTATCAAAGATTTTCTTAATTTAACAAGAAATTTCTAATTAATGCATTATTCAACTTTAAAAATTGACATTATTCCGACAATATTGTATAACATCTTGTCCAAATAACACACGAACGTAAATTAAATGTGTAAATGACCAAATCAGATATTATAATCTAAAAATAAACCTTTAGTTTATATCAGTTTCATTACAAACAATCTAATCTTAACTCTTTATTGGCCAGTAATCCCATTTTTAAAAGCCACATTTTGTATATTATTAATTATTATACACCTCGGTATCTAATTATAATAAAATATGATGTTCAATTACCTGGTATATGAACACTACTCTGTTTGTTCATTGGAATGCCTCGAACAAATCCATATAAACTAACTCGACGATCGCATTTAACATTCTGGCGAATTGATTCTGGCGGTGTAAGATCTTCCATACGATCCACTAAAGTTAATAAAACAAATAAGGAATATCAAAAAAAAGCAATTCACAAAACTTGAGAGCATTAATGAACATTTATGATTAACTTCATCAAAATTAAGCTAATGATTAAATTTATTTTTATTTTTTTGAAATAGCATTTCAAAATATCTTAATTTACCCAGGACATAGGAATGAGACGTTTGCCAAGTTAAAGGTCTAAATTTCATAACAGAAATGAATCTTCCTAAATTTTTAACTTCATTGCGAACATACTCTCCTCTATGAACACCAGACAAATAGAACAATTTTGCACCAGCATAAACTTCAGTCCAAAAACGATGTTTGAGTAATTTTTTTGTACGTTTAAGTGTTTTGTTATTTTTTAACATGTCAAGATGAGATAAGACACCCATTATCTTAGGCATTCCATGCACCTATACAAAACGATAAACATAAACAATATCTAGGACACAATAAAATAAACACTTATTAGCATTACCTGACAAATATTAAGGAACTCAAATATTTCCATTTCAAATCCAAATGAAGCATCAATCATAAGGAGAACAAGATCAGCTACTTTGGCCAAATCAATCATGCTGTTTATATCATTATTGCATTCAATTAATGTAATACGTCGCCTTTTACCAGATACTATGGTAACAGGACCATTAATTGTAGTGAGAGGTTGTCTAGTAAAATTTTTTATTATGCCATTAATTAATGTTGTCTTGCCAACTTTTGGAGGTCCAACAACAGCAACAATAATTGGTGGAGGTTCTAAAGGTGTACGGTCAACAAGAGGTATATGTTGTTTTTTGGTATCCAAATCTTGAGCCCTAATTTAACACATAGTAAGGTCTTAGTAGTTTTAGTTTAAATTATAAAATTCTCAAAATTGAAAAAACTGATTTGACCCACCTTCTGAATCGTCTTTGAGCATTAACAACAGAATTAATAGCAAATGCTTTCGGATTCCTTTTTCTGGCAGAAGCTTCATCTTGATCCAATTTTTTCTTTAAGACTTTTTTTTCAGCTTTTCTGCCTGTATTAAGAKATAAACAAATAAAATGCTAAACTATTTATTTATTATTAACCATGCTGAATGATTGAATTCTTATTCGATTTGTATAGTGAATACTGCATACTGTGTAATAAGTACCAATTCAATTTAAAAACATAATCAAAAATTAAAAATATTACCAGAATGCGGTTTTCTGTGTTCTTTTTTTTTGTTATCGAATTCGTCGGCCATTGTCAATCAAGGTGTACAACGAAAACGACACCCAAAAACTGAATGAGCGTCGAAGTGACGAAGTTACAATTTATGAGTATAAAAAAAGATTCCAACCATTTCAAGAGTGAAGAGACAGGCGAGACACTGAGACAGCATTGAAGATTGAACCGTGTTTAACTAACATTTTGAAAACACGTTTTTCTGTTTTGGTGAGATTAGACTTATCAGTTATCAACAACTGATAACAGCGTGCATGCGTTTGTGAAGAAAGAAAAAATAACTATTCCTACATCAGCTAGATGGCATTGGCACTTTGGTAGTTTGGTGTATTGCTGTAAATAATTAATTAATTAATTAATTAAATTTGAAAATAGCAAATTTGCAAGTCAATTGAAAATTATTTTTATTTACTGTGAAATTAAGTTATAAATGGTTCTACGTGATAAAATACAAATTAATTAATTATTTTAAACCAATGAGGTTTAAATATTTATTGATGAGAGTATTATTATTATCTATTTATCTGTAAACTGTGACGTAGCGTTATTATTGTTTTCCAATCAAGACTCGATCTTTATTTATAAGCATTTAAAAAAACAGAGAATCATTGAAGTATAAGATTTAAATTTAATTACTTMTTTCATTATTGTTTTATCAAAAAAATTAAAAAGCTACACCATTGATATGATAAAATTCCCTTCTATCTTGTGGAAATATTTTGAATCATAAATATTATAATAGATATTATGCTAAATACTTAAACTAATTTATCACATTAATTACAGTAGTCACTGACCTACTCACAGTACACCATCTCACAAAAAATATTCAAATGGGGCTGTTGAACGAAATAAACAGGCGACAGAATTATGATAGGCCCCCTATGGCCCTATTAGTAAGTGTTAATAAATTAAATCATATTTTAAATTTTAGTACCTTTCAATTTAGAATTTTAGATTTGATGCAAGTATCTATTACTTTTTGATGTCTTAAGTTTAATATTTTAATTTATTTACAAGCTATTATAACTGTTTTACGATTTTAAATAAAATTATATTTAAACAAAATCTTACAATACATTAATGAGTAGCAGAAAAGTAAATTATGATCAATTATTAAATAGTAAAAATAATAAATATCAATTAACGAGTGGTTTTCATATAAAAATTTTAGTAAAAATCAATAACAATTAGGTAATATTTAATTTATTAATAAATACATTTTAACTTATAATCTATTAGCTATATTGTACTAAAAATATGAACTTGACATCTTCACAATTATTTCAGTCGTTAAATATAAAGGAAAACAAATTATGCTAATTAATAGGTCACATGTAATAATGAACTTCAATTTATAATGAAGAAGGAAAAAAAATTTTGGTATAGTTTAAATTTAAATGTATACTCATTACGCTTGTGTACATAGTAATATATTATTAATATCAAAAAATAATTTCACAACAACATTGAGGAAACAAATGAGTATTTAAGTGATTTCTAAACACAACAAATACCCTTGAACCATGGCTTAGACCGATTTATATCTCCCAAGAGCGAACACCCTAGGCCCTGAATTATAGTGTTCATGGCGTAACTATGGCAACGCGTACTCACGTGTCTTCATCCTTTCAGCGGGTTATGAATTTATGATACGTGTTATACAGAGTGGTTGTTTTAATTTAATTTAATTTAATTTTTACTGACCAAATATAAGGACTATAATGTGAGTATAAATAGTATAATGTACTAATGTACTATGAATTATTGTTTTATTATTTTTAATTTTATTTAATTTTTTTAATTTTGTACTCTATGTAAATTGATTGTGTAACAAATTAATTACGATATTTTGGTCTTATATTTTAATGATTACGACAAATAAAGGGGGCTTGAGGCTTAAGCCTTGAGGGCCAGGACCTCAACCACTAAAGTATGCCAAATCTCTTCAAATCATGTCTTCGTCAAGTAATGAAGTAAATAAGTACCTATACTGATGGACAATAGTAAAAATCAATTGTTTTCTACAATTTTGAAATAAACCTAATAAAAGTAAGTATTGAAAACAAATATATTTGAAATGTTTTTGTGATACCTACATTACAGTAGTGTAGAAATTGCAGAATACATTTCATATACATACTTAACACGGCAGACGATTAGAATACCTTTGATTTCTCTGCTGAAAATATGGTAAAATAATTATAATATGACTCGGCTATGTAATATTTTTTCAACAGATATTATATGTATCAGGTATACCAGCTCTGCGTGTGTTCATTGCTTAATAAATGTTGAATATTTGAATGTAAATAACGATGTAATATTATATATATGTCAATAATAATTTGTAATTGCGCATAAGCTCAGCGTTTTTTCAAAACTTATGTAATGTTGTATTTTACTCCTCCCCCCCCCAAAAAAAAAAAAAAAAAAATTCCATTTGCTATTTGTACCTAAATGTATATTATGTACGTGCGATGCATTTCAATTTGTAAATAATGCGAGAGTATTAAATATAAGTAGTACAATAGAATCTACTAATTCCGGTACAGTAATACAGTACATATTTCGACTTACGCCTTATGAATAAAATTGTTAAAAATAAAAATATTAATTGGATTTAGACCTCCAAAAATATGTTTATCAATATCATATTTTATTTTTTATAATTTTATACGTACATAAAAATAATGTACTTAAAATGTTGTTTTTGTTGTATGTGCTAGGTCAGTGATTCCCAACGTGGGTGCTACCGCCCCCTTGTGGGCATTTTTTATTTTGAAGGGGGCGTTTTTAAGAGGGGGGCGCTCATCTATTAACTCATATATTAGCGAATCCGAAATCAAATTATATAATCATTAATTATTAGTAGGTATTTAAATTTAAAATTAACTAAATTGTAGCGTTAAAATGTTAAATGATATTTTGTCTTAAATTAAATAGCTTATTAAAAAATAAAATGTTTATCATTTTAAAAAATTGATCGGGGGGGGGGGTAGTGTGAGATTTTTAAAATCTAAAAGGGGCGTTGAGTAAAAAAAGGTTGGGAAACACTGTACTAGGTATACGTGTTTAAACACTGCAACAGACGATAAGAATATCGTTATTTTTTCCGCTGAAAATGTAAGAAAACAATTTGACACTACCATGTAACATTTTACCACAAATACCATAGTCATACGTGTGTTAATTAGTTTGCTTGAAATTTAAACAATTTATTTTATGTAAATAATAATAATAATTTATTCTAGTCTAGTTTTTTGATTTTTCACAGTGGATTTGAGCTCTCTCTCAAAAAAGGTGTAACATTTGCTCTTATATTTATGTGAAGATACGCATGATGTATTTAAAATTTTTAAATGCAAAAATAATTTGTAAAGGTACCACCTATAGTGTCTACGATACGGTGATTTTCGTCTCGTGTTATATGAATTGTTAAAAATTATGATTACTTTGTAAGTACAAGACATAAACAGAGTTGGATACGTTGGTACGTGACACATGCAAATCATTACAAGTCGTATTTCAGGTATATTGAAATAAATAATGTTATTGAGTAATATAGTATGGACAAAAACAAAAAATAACACTTATCGAAAACATTGTTGGCGTGCGTGTCCGGCCGTGCACCACACGTATATAATATATTATTATATTGTAAACACATCGAATTATAATCGTGTAACGACAGAGCTGTTATTATTTCGTTTATCGTACGTGTTCTAGATTACCATAGCTCATAGCCGTTATAGTTTTTGCGCGTGCGACCGCTCTGTATGCCACCGATATTGTTAACGGTGTTGGGGGCGGCAAGTGAGCGGTAGAAATGCAACTTTCCGCCCACCGAAACCGTACGGTCGTGTATGCTGTGAATGTGCAGCGGCGGCGGCGGCGGCCGACAACGTGTTGCATGTTTACGTATGGCAGACAATAATAATATTACAATATTCGCCCGTCGCTGCCCCGTACAACACTACAGTAGTACAGTACATTCAGACTTCAGTATAGTTTCTCGTCCGCTGGCAGTGTGACGTTGGCTCCTCGTCCGCCGCGATTTCGTTGTCGTCGTGCATATATTATATTTTAGTATCCAACATACTTATTAAAGAGTTATAGACGACGACGGCAACGAAGAATTTAATCGATTTCGAACTGGACATAATATCATCTGCGCAGCTATATACATAATATTTTATCGTATTAGGCACAATACAATAATATATTATTATCGTAATAAACCGATTAATTTTCCAAAACATACTTAAGCCCGCGGTTGATCGTGTACGGGATTTTCGTGGTAACCAAATAAAACCGACATGGACCGACTGAGAGTGATGACCGGCGCCCGGCGTTTGTTCAACAGACCATTACACAAGTGCTCTAAAGCTTCGGCGGGCCACTGTCGCACGTCGCCGTCCTGGACTGCGTCCGGGTCGCACGCGCCGTGCACGACTGCAGTCGTACGCATGTTCGGCGCCACCTCCTCCCGCTCCACCCCTTCGTCACCAACCGGACAGATAATCTTGGAATCTCCGTTCGGCACCGTCAACCCCGTGGATGTCACCCTGCCCGATTACATATGGAGGAACGTAGACAAGTGGGAAGACAAACCGATGATTGTAAGTACCTATACATTATACCTACACCTACCTAAACAACTGCAAAGTAAACCTGATTTATATAGCCTTAGAAGTTGTACGTTGCACCCGCGACGAAGGTGTTTATATTGTGTTTATTAGCGATTAATGTGTTGCGCCAATACAACGGACCCCTGCTTTCTAAAATTTATACTTCCGACACGAAAATGAATTATAGTAATGTCAAAACTTTAAAAGAATACTTCGTACTATAATACGCCGTGTACACATTTTTAATTTGTAAATGCGATAATAATTAAAATTTGCACGTATAATATTAGTATGATTAATGTAACATAAATAAATATATATAGTATAGCCGTATAAGTACACAGTACACGCTCTTTAATCGCTACGTCTGTATTTACTATTTACACCGCGCGGCGACGTAAAAACGTTTTTAAATCCACGTGAAAAATTATTGTATTTTTACTGATGAATGAAACAGCTCTAAAAATAAATAATTAAGTAATAGTAACTATAAGTGAGCATAATGCATAAGTGTATCCTTGCATTAAAAATGTTTTAACGTCACCGTGTAGACTTATTACGCTGTAATTATATTCACTAATTACCTATCTACTATATATTATTACCTAAATATACGCAGTATGCCAGTATCACCTGTAGATGTATCACCACGAACGTCTAACTTTATGAGATTGGCTTTGACGTGGTGTATAGTCCGCGCTGAATATGGATTTATATATAATATAATCATATTCGTCTAAATTTATTCATCGTTGTTTCTATACATTGTACATATTTATTTATTATTTACATTAATTTCTAAAGTACCTAATATAGTTCACTCTCAATAGTTAATACTGATTTATGATTACTGATAACAACTACCAAGAGTGGTTCTTGAGAAGCCA